TTCTTGTTTTCTTAGTTTTAAATAACTGCAAATAAAAAACCAAACAAAATCACAAGAAATCATAACCTCCTCCCTTTTCGCTTCCTCCTGTGAAGAAAAAGCATAAAAAAGTGATAGCGGCCCCTTTCAAGAATTGCTGCGAAGCATACTGATGTCGGGTTTCAACTTCCAGGCAAGTTTCAGCATCAGTTCACCATCGAAGCGAATAAACAAATCGTAGAGGGATTGTAATCTTACCGATGGAGATGAATCCCCCTCCATCAGCATGCGAAAGGCTTCACCCGCCACCTCCATACCACGGGTTTTGATAGCTTCCATACTATTTAGTTTCAAACTAGAAGGCTTTGATAATGCTTTAATGTGAATTTAGACGTGTAATGAGGAAGCATTATTGTGAAAAATACTGACCCTTAATGAGGAAATTATTTGATTCTTTTGAGGTGACATAAAATGTTAGAAAAAGTTAAAAAAAACTCACAGCTGTCTTCGGTGCGACAATTGTTGTTGCTGAGAAATTCATTTTTGCGATTCGTTGAAATACTTGTTTATATTCACTGCTGGAATGCCAGTTGTTTTTACTAACGTTTGGGTAAAGTTCAGATTAATAGTAGTGAATGCGTGAAGGCTGACTGTAATACTAACAGAAAACACTCTGTGTTAGCTGTAATGTGTGGGCTGAACAGAAGCAAAAAAGAGACAAAAAAGGTATAATTAATTTAGTAGTACGTAAGAGAAAAATCGAAAACTTTTACGAATTAAGGGAAATAAGCTGAAGAGGCTACTTCAGTCCATAAGGTTGCACATAAAACTTGTTTCAAAAAGATGCTGTTGCTCTAACAGAAAGAAGCACCATTTTTCTGTGAGCTAATCCGCTTATATGAGATGAAATACTGTCGATTAGTGCTGGTGCTAGAATCATAGCATAAAATAGCCCCGGCTGCAACTAAACCCTTGCCGATGCGATCACGCGTTTTTGCGCTAAACTTGCAGATCGCTAATAACAGTAGTTTAACATTTGGATTCAAACTGGCTGTGTTTCGGCCTTTTCCTGTACGCAAAAAAGGGCGTTGGCTGAGATAAAGGTGTAGCATTATGAGGCCACATGGACTTCAGTGTGCATGATTACCAGCTTTTTTGCATAAAACCCGATTGTTTTTCCGGTAAATGCTCGTCCATCGAAAAAGTGTAGATTAGAAGGGAGCCCAGAGAGGATTATGAAATGAGTTTGCAGTAAAGTTGAGTACTTGCCATGCCTGCTCGCAGGAAATTTCACACCCAGTCTGAATTAAAACCACACTTGAATTGCAAAGCTTCAGCTTCGCAAATTGTCTGGTTAGGAGAATAGCCACATCGCTAAAAATATCTTTGAAGTGTCCTACTTCGTGGCGCAAATCGAAGCCCAATTTTCCACACGAACAACAGATATTCTGGCAAAATTTCAGCCGGTTTTTTCCGGCTAGTTTTCGAATTAGCACGGTGCCAATCACGAAATTGACGTGACCGTACGCACGACATAAGTGTGTGCGAAAGCTGAGTTTGAAATCATTAGTTCATACATGAGAATATCCTTGCAAAGTTTCAGCTTTTCACTTTATCTAGATCACGAAATCATTTCTCATCAAAGAAATTTGCATATTTTTCTCCGGGGTTCATACGCGAGATGTAGGCGCGAATAAGCAAAGATTTTAAAATCGACACATCGCGTAAAAATATGACCTTAAAATTTCAGCCTCCCAGCTTCCCTAGTTACTGAGTTGAAAGTGAATGACAAAGTTCACTGGCTTCCGAACACACACACACACACACACACACACACACACACTCACACACATACACACACGGACGACTTCTCGGGTACATTCGTTCTTGCTCACTACAGCAACGCTATAGCGATGCAGAGCAAAAAGGCGTAAAAATTTCTTGGAACTTTCCAGTTCTGGAA